AGTCCTTAAAAAGAAGAGGGGTTTTTCCCCCCATAATTAGTATAGAAGAAAAGGCCATAAAGATTCAAACTATAACACAAATCCATTATGCTATTCATAGCTTTGAAGCTGGAGGAGGCTCAGTGCCAAGGAATGAGGGTGGACTCTAGAAGATGACAGCCAGTAAGGAAACCTCGGTTTGCAATGGCAAGAAAAGGATTCTGCTAACATCCAGCGATCTTGGGAGAGTCCCAGAAGACAACAGCAGCCTTGCTGACACCGTGATTTCAGCCTGGTCAGAACCTGAGCACAGGGTCCTCCTTCCTCCTACAGGTAACTGGTTATGCAGCAACAATGCTTAATTTTGCTTCATGCTCATTACTTCTCCAGTGGAACCTGACCAGAGAGGCAGGATCCTTTTAAACAATCCCAACTGTGAGTCTTGGAACTATAGATGTTGAGAATTTCAAACACCATAATAATCATTAGCATCAACCTTCTAATTTCATAGGTTTAAAAACAATAAGATCAGAGTAGATAACAGTGAATTAGGGGGAGGTCTGGGACTTCTAATCCATGGCTCACTCCAGAGGATCCCACATCTCCCCTAAGGACTGGCCACTGAGACTTAGAATATTTCCCACTATATTTCTTACCTCTCAGTCCACCCTTAATATTCCTCCAAGGATAGCCTGAAGCTAAGAAGAGCATATGGTTCCCAACCTGCAGTGCACAACAAAATCATCTGTGCATCATTTAGCAAATATAGACCGAGAACTGAATCAGAATGTCTAGAAAGCGAGGCCCAGGGACTCAGATTTTTCAAGTTGCTAGGTAATCCTGGAGCAGCCAGCTGGGCACCATGATGTAGGCTAGTAATTGGGAACCAGTGTTCTAGGTTTGGGCACAGAGTTAAGCAAATCACACAGAACACCTCCAAAGAGGTAAAGATGCATAAAAACCTTGGGATTATGAAGACAAACTTCCCCTCTCACTAGTGCTGACTCCAGCCAGTTCTTCCTGCTCCCTGTTTTGGGGGCTATTGAAACCTTTGTTGGGGTTTCAGTCATGGTAGCCTCTTACCCCACTTTCAGCTTGATCTCTCACTTAGAATCCTCCTTCCTCCGTCAGCCCTTCTCAGCCACTTACCTTGTGTGTACAGTTTCCATTGTGATACACACCCCAGGGGCTCCTCTGCTGTTACTGGGGATGGTCCCCAAAGTTCTGGTCTCAGCCCTCTCCTGTCATTACTTGACACGTACTTCCCAGATGACCACGTCCATTCCCGTGACAATCCCAACTGTGATTCCCAGACCTCTCCTCTCTTCCAGGCTAAGGCACTTATATCCAACCACCTAGGGACAATGGCATTTGAGCCTCTCATAAGCACCTCTGTTGCAAGATGTTTAAAAAGAGCCAGTGTCTCCCGGTGCCAAAACCGTGCCTTTTGTCTGTTCCCATTTTGACATTTGGCAGCAATAGTCCCCATGAAATAAGCTCCTCCCTTTCCATCAGCCTAGCATCCTATCAGTCATGGACTTGGCTCGATTCAATCTCCTAACTCTCCAACCCCCTCCCTTCTCCCTCTTTACTATGACTTCCTCTGACCTTCCTTTCTTAACTATTCCAACAGCCTCCTCACTGGTCCTCTGCCCTCCGGCTCTTATCTAGTGACTGATAATTAATTTTTTAAGATTAAACTTGGAAAAAACACATATCGGGAAAAGTTAGGGAAATAATTTTCAGGGAGCAGGTGAGGGAAGGATCTGAAGGGCCCAAAGTGGGTGAGTAGGACTTGTTCTCTGAAACCACAGTGGAAGTGGCTTCATCCAACGTAAGTCCTTGCCTCACGCCTAACCCTCAGCCCCTGAGAATGCCTGCTTAGGATGAGCAGCTACAGCTTTTCGGAACCCACGTCTGATTCTTTGGCGAGGCGCCGCAAATGTCAGCTCCAACGAGAGGGAGAGAAGCAGCAGGAGAGCCCTGCTCCTCCTGGAGACGGTGGCGGTGTGGCGAGGAAGGGGCCTGTGTGGGATGAGAAGAGGGGCAGGGGTTAGGCACAAACCAGAGAGAGACACAAAGCACATGCAGATGAACCTTAGAAATAATCCACCAGTTCCCTTAGTTTACAGATTTAAAAACTGAGAATCATAATGGAGAAGGGCTTGCCTCTGGTCACATGGCAAGTAGGACAGGACCTTCAGTCCCAGGACCCTCCCCATGGTCCCACACTCTTCCGTGGTACAGTATGTGATCTACCCAGACACTTGCCCATTGTCTCACTCTGGGTGAGAGGCCACATGTGAATGATCACAGTGATTCGTCTGGAGCAGTTGCAAGGCTAGTTTGCCCACAGTCACTCCTGGGGCAATCCCAGGCACTAAGGAGCACTTTTCTTTGTACCGCTCATGACAAGAAACTGAGATTTTCAGGAGAGCCTGGGCATATGGCCCTCCATCTTAGGAGGAAAAATGATCCCAGATGACCTGGGGGTAACAAAAGGATCCCTTTTATTCCTTCTGGTGTTATCCAAGCCTGGGAACATGTGATCTAGACAACCACATAAACAGATGATCTTCCCCTACTCACTCACATCTCCATTTTCTAGGTCTCTTCCTGGCCCTTAAGTATTTTTAAAATATTATGATGAGAAGAACTGCTAATGCCTTACTGTATTAGCTCTCTTGGAGTAAATGCATTTCAAAAATAGTGAGAGGGGCAAAGGGAGGGAGCAAGAAGGAAGGGAAGGGGAGAGAGAGAGAGGGAGAGAGAGAGAGAGAGAGAGAGAGAGAGAGAGAGAGAGAGAGAGAAGAGAAGGGAAGGGAAGGGAAGGGAAGGGAAGGGAAGGGAAGGGAAGGGAAGGGAAGGGAAGGGAAGGGAAGGGAAGGGAAGGGAAGGGAAGGGAAGGGAAGGGAAGGGGAGGGAATGAATGTGTCTTTATGCCATATAGGCATCTGTATTATTGGTAGAACTTCAGACACTAAAGAGGGATAGAATCTTTGCCAGATATCCTAATTGGCTGCCTAAGAATAAAGACCTGTGACAATGTTTTTGTTGTTATTTTTTAGAATTAGAATCTAGTATCCTTCCCAAAATTTTACAACAGTGCCTGGACTGCTCAGTAATGGGAATATGGCCCAAGACACAGTTGGTCCTGGCTTGGTCATTTATAGCTGTAGCTGTATCTTGGGTCCTAGTTTCCTCATCTAGAAAATGGAAGTAATATCACCTGCCTAGCAGCTCTGTTGTCGATGTGAAGAGTGGATGAGATAGTGTGAAGAGTATTCATGAATGGGTATGGTATGATCAAAACTTAGGTTAGACTTGGACCTGAGTTCACATCCTGAATCCCCCTCTTACTAGCTATGTAGTCTCAGCTCAGTCACTTATCCTCGCTGAGCCTCGTTTTTCACAAAGGGAATAGTGATAAAACCTACTTCATAGACATGAGAATTAATTGAACTGTTGTGTAAAGCACGGTGTGGCTCAGTGGTCTCGGTTGGATTCCTGGTCAGGGCACATGCCCAGGTTTCAGGGGGCAGTCAATTCGTGATTCTCTCTCATCACTGAAGTCTCTCTCTCTCTCTCCCTCTCCCTTCCTCTCACTGAAAGTAATAAAAACATTTTAAAAAAGAAAATCACTTGTGATTTGTGATCAGTATTCTAACTACTAGGAAACAAATTCTTTTGTAAGTATAAGGTTTTCTATTGTATGCCTTTATAAAAATTAAAAGAGGCATTAATCAAGTTGATTAATATCTAAATTAGATATTTAAAATATTTTTTATTATAGAGCATTATGAGATTTGTGGCAACTTACTAGAAGTTCAAAGAAGCAAGTGACATACCAATAATGAAATTTTATTCCCATGCACTTATATATCATTGAAATATACATTCATTACCTATAGAATTTTGTTTATCAATAAAATTTTGTGTATTGATTAATATTCAATGTATTTATTTATATATTCATTATTATTATGGTATTTAAATAACGAATGGAACAAAAAATAAAACCATAAGAAAAAAATTTATTCCTAGAGTCTTATGGTCCCAGTAGATGTAAACATTAAAGTGTAACTTATATGCAGGTTTTTGTTGCATAAAAGTATGAAAAGTCATGAAGAAAGAAGTTTTGAGCATAACATTATATTCCATTACATGAAAGGTCGAAGCAAGAGGAATGGAAATAGGAGTTCAAGGAGAAGAAAAAGTGTTTTAAAATTTCCAACTATTAAGGTGGTTTTTATCTACATGTATATATTTTTTATCAGTACAGAGGTCTTTATGTTGGCACTCATCATGCCATGAATTCATAGGGAGTGGGTTCCAGCCACTCAGGCTCCTTCCCATTGGTTCTCACAAAGTGTGTTTGTCTGAGTAGAGCCAGCTGGTGCTTCAGCTGAACGTAGGTATCTTTCTCTTTGGTTTCCTTTTTTCTTTTTCCTGATCATTTTTCTTCACACTCTACCTTTCCCCATGTGGCAGAGGTTGCTCTTTGCAATAAATCGAGGAGCATTTTGCAACTGACAGATCTACAGATGTCCAGGAGCTGGGAGAACAGTGTGAATTTCCAGGTTACAATCTTTGAAAACTACAGGTAAGGTCCCATCATGGTCCCCTATTGCTCCCCCACTGGGAACACACCCTGCCTCAAGGTCCTGGTTTGTTTCCATGCATGAAAGCTCCTTGTTCACATCTTCCTCATCCCAATAGCATGGTGGGTTCTGCTGCATGGCTACTCAACCACGAAATGTGCCTTTAGCCTCAGCCATGAGGCAGGAGATCTTGAAGAGGATAATTAGCTCTGTATGTCTCTTTAATAAACCTTGCCTTAAACTCAGAGTAAGTAGCTGCCTCCTCCAAAGACATAACCTTCTAAATAACTCCTACTCAGTGATCTACATTCTGATACTGAGGAAGGGCAGTCTCTAAGTGCAGAGCACGGTATATCTCCATTGTGTGTTGTTTAAATGTCTTAAATCTTTCTAATTTTTGTTCTCTTTGACTTATGAATAATTGAGAAAAGTATATTGAGGGCTCTTCACACAGCCATGGATTTTTCAGTTTATGCCTGTAATTCCATTGATGTTTGCTTATTACATCCTGATTCTATTGATTTAGGTAAATATGAATGAATTCCTGGCGGGTTGAATTTTTTATCATTATATAGTGACCAAATGTACCAAGCACTGGGACAGCTAACAATGAAGGAAGGAGGAGATATCCTCTTAGAGGAGGCACTGCTCTGTAAGATTGGAAAAAGCACAGAATTGAGGCTTTTCCTCTTGGAGGGAAGGGAAGACGGGAAAGGGGTCTAGTCCCCAGCTTTATTGTGTACTCCCTACAGAGTCGGTCTCTGTCTTGCTTTATATCAAGTACTACTGACCGGTAAAGGTGTCTCTCTCAGTCAAAACCAGTTCATAAAGGCTGGGAGAGGCAGCCACTTCTTCAAATGTGCAGACAAGAAAGCAAACTTACAGGAACATGAAAAATCAAGAAAGCATGACACATCCAAAGGAAGAAAACAAATTTTCAGTAACCAACCTAAAAGAAATGGAGGTCTTTAAATTGGCTAACAAAAATGTCAAAATAATTATTTTTTAAAGCTCAGTTATAAAAGAACACAGATTCACAACCAAATGAAAAAATTTTTTAAACGACATATGAATAAAATCATAATGTCATCAAAGAAATAGAAATGATTAAAAAGAACAAAACAAAAATACTGTAGGCGAAGAATACAATAAATAAACTGAAACATTCACTAGAGGAGCTTCAAAAACAGGCTTGGTCAAGCAGAAGAAAAATCAGTAGACTTAAAGACAGGTCATTTTAATTATCTGTAAAAACTGAATTTAACAGCACATTCAAAGGATTATACAACACGACTAAGTGGAATTTATCCTTAGGATGCAAGGAGGCAACATCTACAAATCAATCAATGTGATTGACCACATTAACAGAATAAAGGATAAAAATCATATGATCGTCTCAATAGATACAGAAAAAACATGTAAGAAATTCATCATCCTTTCATGATTAATTTCTCTACAGTAAAGGTCATATATGACAAGCCCAAAGCTAATATAATACATAGTTAATATCATACTGAAAGCTTTCCCTCTAAGATCAGGAACAAAACAAGGATGCCCACTCTTGCCACTTCTATTCAACACAGTACTGGAAGTCCTAGCCAGAAAATTACACAAGAAAGAGAAAGAAATGAAAAGACATTCAAATTAGAATGGAAGAAGTTAAATTGTGTTTGCAGATGACATGATAACATATATATATATATATATATATATATAAAAGCCTGATATGCTAAGTGTCCAACCCTTTGACTGTTTGAGCAGTAACTATAACACACACTGACCATCAGGGGGCAGATGCTCAACACACAGGCATGGAACAGACTGATGAATCTCAGAGGGAAGAGGGGTGGGAGGAAGGCGGGAAGAGATTAACCAAAGATCTTATATGCATACTAGAGGCCCGGTGCACAGATTGGTGCACCAGTGGAGTCCCTCGGCCTGGCCTGTGCCCTCTTGCAATCTGGGACCCCTCGGGGGATGTTGGACTACCGGCTTTGGCCCGATCCCCGCAGGCCAGGCCAAGGGACCCCGCCAGTGCATGAATCCATGCACCAGGCCTCTAGGATATATAGAAAACCTCAAAATTCAGTTAAGTTGCAAAATACAAAATCAACCAAAAAAAAATCAATTCTGTTTTTATACACTAACAACAAACTATCAAAAAAAGAAATTTTGAAAACAAAATTATTTCTAATAGAAGCAAAATTAATAAAATACTTAGAAATAAATTTAACCAAGGGAATGAAAGATCTGTACACTGAAAACTATAAAACAGTGATGAAAGAAATGAGCAAAGACACACAAAAAGTGGAATGATACCTCACATTCATAGATTGAAAGAGTTAATATTGTTTAAATATCTATGCTACTCCACATGATATAGATTGAATGAAATCTCTATCAAAACTCCAAAGACATTTCTCACAGAAATAGAAAAAAAAAACACACATAAAATTCAGGTGGAGCCACATAAGACCCCAAACAGCCAAAGCAATTTTCAGCAAAAATAACAAACTAGAAGAACCACACTTTCTGATTTCAAAATATATTACAAGCTATAATAATCAAAACAGTATGTTATTCTTTTAAAAACACAGTATGGTATTGACAAACACAAAACA